TGCGTACTTTTCGCAGGTGGCTGAAAAATATTTCATTCAAATCTTTCATCCTGAGTAAACGAAAACATCTTTTGATTATTGTGTACGGTGATTAATCTTAAATCCCTGTCTAAATAATCTGTCCGAGTCCAAAAGACATTTCAAAATTCCGGTCAACATTTCCTGAGTTAGCACGGCTACTTTACTTGATCACTAGACTTGTGCTAGAAAATATGAGAACATAGTCAAGCAGTTGTCAAGTGGATGTAACTATAAATAAATACTATCACCCTGGCAATGAAGAAAACCCCTCGAGTTACATTTCCCATCCCAAGTTGCAAATATCTTGTAATCTTCCTTCGCATCGCACAGCTCCGAGGCCTTAAAACGCATCTTTGTGTGAAATTCAAATATGCCAAATGTTTGAAAACTGTAGCAGAAGATTGGACAGCAGGTCGGAGCAATATGCAAAATATGGTAACTATTTGTTCACTTGAAGGCATTTGATGCATTCTCCGCACATGTCTTGCAAACGATTGTGGGGACCTAAAAAACAGACATTAACCCGCACAGCGAACATCTCAGACGGATTAAATAGTTATAAAATATCGCTACTTGGTATATTTCAGTAAGAAACTCTGAATACCCACATTTGCATACATGTCCAATCACGCCGCCAATTTCTAACGGCAGGAGGCATATTCATTCAATTCATTTATCTGCATACGAAAAACACTCTTGACCCTTATAATGTGCCTTAACCCGACAAAGAACACCGTACTGTATCAAGTATTTTCCAGTACGCTAACTGATCGTAAAGTAAAGAGAGACGATTGTTTTCGGAACAAGGAATTCACAAAAAGAGAGTACGAAGTTAAAAAACGATGCTAAATGTCGCAGCTACCGAAAACTGGCAATAAGATCCGCTTCAGTCAATCAATATGAAACTGCCTGCCACCGGATGCAATACGTCGGCACGCGACAAATTATGTTTTCAACTACGAATGGGTAAATATGGTTTCTGAAAGTGCAGCAGCCCGCCGACCGTCACATATTCCATTGACGGTAGGGTACCACCGGTTCATGTCGCGCACGAGCGAATAGCAAGTACCAAACGAAACTAATGCAAACTCAACTGGGAGGAAAGACACCTTTTAGGTTTCTGCTAACACCTGAGGGCGAGCGGTACTGACTGGCTGAATGAGGGCAGAATAAACCAGAAATAAATTGCCTTTATTCTCTGTCGTCTCTCTTCGCCACTGCTGCAATCATCACTATAACAGCAAACCGCAACTAACCAGGAAATAAAGCATACGAAGTAAACAGACTTCTTAACCAGAACAAAACGCAAATGTTACAATGCAGTTCAAAAATGACCACTATACTCCCATTGAAAAATGTCTATGTTATGCGAACACATCCTCTAAGAAGGCAACACGAAACTCATTTCTACATACAACCCCCACGCTCACCCTACCAATCTTACTACTACTTAAACCATCATCCGACATTTGCAGATTATATCTTCTACTTCAGTGCATGGCTAGCATTATCGCAACATTACAGCTGCTTCGTTGAGTGGCGCAATCTTGCTTACTAGCATAAGCCTCTACTTCTCTTTTCGCAAGACAAAAACTCCACTGAAATTTTATCTCCATGCAGTCAAGTGACTCACGGTCTGCTTCAACTGCAATGCACAATGAACTTTGATAGCGGCCGCGAACATTCGCATCTAACATGATTGCCAATCCAATCAAAGATGCGACTTCCAGGGACTAGTTCATAAGAAGTACAACCCATCGCCTGAATACGGGCTTCTTTCGCCTGACTTTTCGCATTCTCGCGCGAACCCATCATCCGAGACGGTGACAAATACGAGTGATTTGTGCACAGGAAGGTGCACTATTTATAGGATGCAGTCGCTAAGCTACTTCATACCTCTGATAATTCACCGCTGTCCCTATGGATGGATAGACTACATTTGTCTCTTGCTTTTAAGCATAGTGCTCACGCAAAAATAGTTAAGGACGCCTACCAGGATACGAAAGTCATATTGCTTTCCATGTAGGTGGGAACCGATTGCAAACTTTCCCAAGGTTTGCGTAATTAAGTTCGCAAGAAGTTCAAGAATGGTAGGACACAAGTCTCTCTACTGTCCAATGACATCTACAACACGATGATATATTTAATAGGACGTGACCAATACATCCTGGATATCCAATGATTCAAACAAGGTTGTTGTAAAAATAAAATAATCAACTTCTTGAGTCCACTGTATAATTGAGGGAAACGAGTCTATTTACCTGCATCGAGTGTCAAAATACCACACGCAGTAGATGTGCTAACTCATGAAATGTTAATGGAAATTTTGAAATGGGTTTTCGACTCGAAAAGAATACTTACGTAGGGTTATAATATCAATCACCATGCAACATAATCCCATGATAATTCACATGCTTCAGAATTCTGACTTTTGAAGGAACTTTTTCTGGTGTCTGCAAAGATGACTGCTTAAGTAATGTGCATTTTCCTCATTAAGTTTCCATGTACCTAAAATGTCAACTACATTTCATAGAAGACATGCATAAAATAGTCTTCTTTTATTCATTTGAAAGAAAATTACGTCTGCTTCGAAATTTGAGCTTGAAGGAAGGGCATAATTCGGTCTTTAAAAAGTTCATAACTATGATATTTTTTAAAACCGTGAAAATCTGTTTTTCTGAAACAACGTGCCTCTGTATTTACTAATATTCCTTGAAAGGTTTACAATATGATCAAAATTCACTGTCATATTTTATGAAACCCACATGGTCTCCTCCTATTTGCGTGGAGAAGTGTATGATTTTCAGTACAAAGAAAATATACAACTTGTAGTTTCCAAACCTTGAATTCAAGTGCAACGGGAAGTCGGCTACAAAACTACTTAGGTGTTCGAGGAGTTTTCTAAAAACAAATTATATCCTTCCTTCAAGTAGATAATACGAAGTTGTAATTTGCTAACAGGTGAACACGAGAGAGAACATTTTTGTACATTTTTCCTTTATCTTGTTTTCCAATTTATAAAGGCACTGAAACTTATAAAATTCATGCGACTTGCGTAGTCATTTTTTACTACTGCAAAGCTTCGATATTTCACTGTTCTGCACTTCATCGAGGATTGTTCCCCGCTATTGCTCTAATTGCTTGATGGTCGGCATGTATGTTCTTAATTGCTGAAATCCCGTCACATTATCTTTGTCGGATGCTGATATCATGACTGTTCGGCCACCTGGCTCACTAGCTTGCGATCTCCCCGAGTGATAACTGCATAGGTCATACTAGACCTCAGCACGGAATATGCAATCGGGATGTAATTGAAATTCTAGATGAACTGCGATACCATGAACCATGACTCAATCAAACTGCGACTCCCACGATTATCAGCTCTCGTGAGAATTTCGGCATCATACAACTTTAACGTGTGGACGGGTCCCGTCGAATGGGCCGCGACTTTACAGTTGGCGTCATTTATCCGCACCGCGGCCGCGTGCTCGACGAATCGCGTCCAGAGCTCTCTTCCAATTACTTCGACCTAGTTCCTTTCCCCGCATGTGCAGCAGATTCGGTAAACTACTCCAGATGTATCTTGTCGTGGCAGCTGGCCTTTCGGTCACATCACCTGACACTCAATGGTTCACTCCGGTCTGTCTGCAACTCCAACCCCCAGTGGTGCGTTAGGATCTCTGACGGCCTCGAATAAAGTACTCATGTACGGAAACGCACACTCGAATTTGAAGTCAGTACGATTTTGTCGCTCATCTCCTTTACGCATGCATCGGTTGGCGAATTTCGGCGGGTAACCATCTTCCCTAAAAACCCAAATGCAGTTCTGCAGCCGTCAGAAATGACAAAACAGTAGTATTTACAGGCAGCATTGCTTACCCCCTCGCGGCGGCTAAAAGGCGTCTATGAATGACAGGCTAAGAAATACCCACTATACGACATCTACGCGCAGACCCTGGCTCACAGACCGCAATACATGCGTCAGTTCATCGACTAAACAAGAAGCAACTATCTCCATCTTTCACTCTTCCACCTACTCCGCCTCCATCCATCCCACCCCGCACCCTGCCAGCCTGAGTCCCCCCACTACCTTTTAGACAATCCGAGAACCAACCTACCGGAACGCAGAACGACGCTTGTGCTTCAAGAACTCACCTGTCACAAGCTGGACATTACTGCACTCAGTGAAATCCCATTTCCCAACTAACGCCAAGTCGTGGACGTGAGTGCCGCCTACACCTACTCCTCCAACTGCCGCCCACAGGCAGAGCAACACCACGCCGACGTTGCCTTTGCCATCCCCACCGACATCGTCGCACGCCTGCCCTGTCTGCCGCAGGGCACCAACGACCGGCTGATGTGCCTGCGCCTGGCATTCAACTTCGCCACCATCATCAAGGCGCCTACGTCCCCCCTTCACAATGACCGGCTCCGACGAGGCCAATACTAAGTCCTGCAGACTCCTCCACACCCATCCGTCGTCTATTAAAAAGGTCAAAAAGATGCTTGTCCTTGGTGACTTCATTCATCGCGTAGGGATAGACTACGCTCTCTTGGGGGAGAGAGCGCTGGGTCCTCGCGAAATTGGTGGCTCCAACGACAATGCTCTCCTTCACTTGCAAACCTGCTCAGAACACTGCCTCATCCTAACCAACATCCCCTTCCACTTCGCAATGCCGAAGAAGGACACCACCATGCACCCTCAATTACGCACTAGACTCCAGCTGCACTACCTTCTCGTCCAGAGGCGAAATCGACAGAACATACTGGTGATCTGCAACACAGATTGCTCCACGGACCACTGTCTCCCTGCCATCAGCACGAGGCTTCGGCTGCAATCTCGCAGGACGCTATAAAGCAAGCGATCATCAGGCAAGTTGAATACCGCTTTGTTGCTTTTGCCTCCTCGCCGCCTACGCCTGCGCAGTGAACTGACTCAACACCTCCAAGACCTACCTGCTCCACATGAGAACGCCTCCATGCAGACTCAAAGGTGCAAACTGCCAGACGCCGTCCATCCGTCCATCCTGGATGTCCTCAGACGCGGGCATTGTCAACACAAGGACTGCTTCGTCGACAACGACGCAGCCATCAGCAACTTCTTTGTCCACAAGAACAGGCTGCATAGGACCTACCTCCGTCGTCCAACCCATGCAAACAAAGCGGCATTTGTTCTATGCCACCACCTTCTTCACCAACGATTACAAGAAATTCTCGACGCCCACAAGACCGAAAAGGACCAGGTATATGCCGACCGCAACGAAACAAAGAATTTCTTCCGTGCCATCAAGACCATCTACGACAAAAGGAACCACGCCGCCTATCACCTATCATGGATCAAAGTTTCGAACAGGAAAATCGCGCATTCTGAAGTGCTGCGCCCAGCAATAAAGAAACTGCCTCAACTCTCCCTCCATAATTTACCACCCCGCCATCGACCGACCCCACCCAAGTGCAAATCAGACTCCACCTGGATCTCCCGCCCTCCCTCCCTCCCAGAAACCATCTGCCCCTTACAACAACTCTCCGGCGGGAAAGCACCTGGCTCCGATGTGAGCCCAAATCAAATCTACAGGCACAGAGGCCAACCACTCACGCATCACTTCCAGCAGATGTAACAGCGCTGTGCACATCTTACTCAGCATTTGAACTACGCAACAATTCTACACACCCGTACATGCGGAAAAGGAACAGCTAACTCTCTGACAATCACAGAAAAATCTCCTTGCTCAGCACTGTGGGGAAGATCTTCGCTTTCGTCCTCCTCAACTCCCTCCATAGTCATCATGAACAAGCACTTCTGCCCGAAAGTCAGTGCGCACCGCGCTGACACCGCGCAACCACCCACATCCTCCTTGCCGCTCGCCAAATACAAAAGAAGAAGTGCCAGCAGATGCAAACTCACCTCTACACCACCTTGACGGACCTGACCAAAACCTTTGACACTGTCTATCACGAGGAAATGTGGGAAGTCATACAGAAATTCCGCTGTCCTGACCGCTTTACCCATATGATACGTCAACTCCACTACGGGACGATGGCGGCCGACACGGACAATAGCGCAATGTCACAGGCATCCCCAGTAACCAATGGAGGGAAACAGGGCTCCTCACCCTCTTCAGCCTCATCTTCCCACCTACTCTGAGGGACACCCACCGTGACGAGCGTCCTGGAGTACACAACGCCTACAGAACGGACGCCCATCTTCTCAACATCGGGCACATGTAGGGCCGGAAGCTGTTATCCACGACCACGGTCCACGATCTGCTCTTTGCTCACGACTGCGCACTCAACACTAACACCAAACAACACATGCAACGGATCATGGATCTCTTCTCCGGCTGCGACTAACCATCGATACGAGCAAAAGGATGCTCACGCATTAGCCGCCACTGAACGCCCAATGCAACTCTCCTCCAATCACTCTAAACAACAACCAACTCCAAACCCTGGACAACTTCGCCTATTTAACAATCACACGCCTACGAAACACAAATATCCTCAATGAGGTCGTCCGTCGGCTCTCCAATGCCAGCTAGAATTTTTGCCGGCAGCAAGCCTACGTGTCAAATTACCCACCGACTTTAATAAATACCAAACTGAAGATGTACAGGATCGGCGTCTCTATGGAACGGAGACATGCATCCTCCACACAACCCATGCCAGGAAGCTCAATTACCATCTCATTAACCTTCGTAGAATATTGAAGCAAAGATGATAGGACGGGATCCCGCACAGGGAAGTCTCGCCACGCACCCGAATCCTCAGCATCCACGCCCTGCTCACACAACTGCAGCTGAAATGGTGCGGCCACCGTCTAAGAATGGACGACGCTCACCCCCACGCATCTTCAAAATTGCCTAACAGTTCGCATTATCTCCCTGTCTCATAACTACTCTACGCACCAGCGGCCACCAGCTTTCGCCTCCGCATGGCAAACATATGCATGCCAGCATAAAAGACAACTTTACTTTCCGTTACTGCAGTAATGCTACAGTAAATATTTTCATGGAACTATCCAGTAGTATGCTTATCACTTATGCCTTGGAGACAGATGAACCGTAAGTGCTTGAAAACAATGCGTGAAAATGTAATTGGTTTTGCGAATCGGTATAAAATTGCACCTCAGGACATTAATTGCTTAACCTTAGACTTCTACGCAAAGAAATCGTTCGAGTTGACGTTAGAGGTTGAGCGATACACAGGATTTGGACTCACTCCGAATACTGTGTCACGTTGCTTCTGAGCTGTTTCTAGGTCCTGTAGTGGGAAAGTATGGCACTCGGGTAAGCGCTGGCCTCTCGACGTCTGCGGCAGGTTGGTCTATGCACAAATCGGACCCAAACAGTTTTTCCTGCTGGGTTTGCTCACTATTTCTCTACAACGTGCTAAAATAGAGTTATAAAAGTAACAGCCTCAAGACCCAACGGGAATCGCCACACGCAGATCAAGATTGCGTTTTTCATTGTGGCATGTAGGGTCGCCCTCTGGCTAGAGGTCGATGACCAACTCTGCACCGGAGGCGTCAAAAACGAATAGAAAGTAAGGACGAATCACACGTCGATGAGGCGGTGATCGCAGGGCTGCGCACGTGCGCTAGTTGGAGGATAAACCCTGCGAGCTGCTATTTGATTGGCTGCTTCAGCAGAACATGAGGCCGAGCCACATACCCATCCTGCCGTAGAAGTGTGGTTGTTTCTTTCATGGATCAAGCAAAGCCAGCCTACATCGGCAATATTTCCTGCGGCCGGCCATAGTTAGTACTCCAATAGGGAAATCAGTCAACTTGCCAAGAGGTCCGACCTATGCATGATAGGGGGCCGGACAGCCGATAAAAACGTGGCAATCTGTATAACGGAGTTGATGGCAGACAGGGCTTGAGAGAACGCGGTGGGTTTCCTTTGCGTCGGATGACAACAACTGTATCGACAACGAACAACACCGGGTAAGTAGTCTTCACTGTAAAGTATTAAGTGCGTGTAGGCCAACAGCAACCTGCACATTCAAAGCGATTTTGTCCGATGGCCTCTAGTGTGCCTACGAATCTAAAAAGTCATTTATGAAATATCTCGTTTGTCTGCGTCTCTAACTGCCTAATTAAACTACGTTTGAAAATGCAGTCAGCATCCTAGTGGATCTCTATTAAGATTCCAGCGCACAGTAGCATCGTCCTTTCAGCGCCTGAATTTCTAAAAAGAAAACTTCTGTACGACGCAAAAAGAAGCTTTGGTCTTTAGCCGTACAGATGGTGAATTTTGGGAGCGCGACTGGACGTTCAAATCGGCTACCGACACATTTTATGTCGTCCAACTCTGCCAAAAGCTGATTAACGGACCGAAGCTCACTGCCATACTGCTTACGGTTCAGAAATACTTTACAAGTCTTCAGAATTTAGGTTTCGAATCTAGTAGGCTCATAAAACAGGATTTCTTCACCGCCTCCTCCTCACAGAAACTGCTTTTAGCGGTCAATTCATCCGCTGTATTGATTTATGAAAAATTAATGATTTCCCATATCTGTCGTATACGTAATAGTATGGTTAAATCGGCTGCGATGGGAACTGTTTACCATAGCGCCAGATTTAATGGCTAAAAGATCGAGATTTCTTTCTACACAGAGGTTCCTACGGTGTTATCTATAGGTAACGTATCTCAAACGGTAATCGAAATGTCGTAAATTTGTGGCCAAGTGGAAATCTCCAGGAAGCAGTACAGAAGAAGACGAAGGACATTACTCGCCTGGACTTTCGCTCTCCAATTCGTCACCACAGACTGAATCGGATAAGGGTATCAAGCTGTTCAGGTGTTGCAGCATTTCCAATTGCTGTATCACAGTTCACTTGTCAAAATTTGCAGCTTACGCATTCAAAGGTGCGCCATTTGCTCAATTGCCCACAGTCTAGTCTTCAATGACCGAAACTTCATCACTCGTGACGGTTCTTGGGATGTTTGGCTCATCGACACTGGCAGCGTGAACAGTGGTCGTTCGTGCACTACCCACATGACTAATTACTTTGTCCAGGCCTAGTCTCAGCACTGAATATGAAGTTGACGGGTCATTGCCCTTAGTAGTCGAATGAGGGCCGGAAACCATGAGGCAAGCAGTGCGCGGCTCACTTGATCTCGGTGAACTTGAATGTGTGGTCGGCCCCCGTCGAATAAGTCGCCACCTGCGAGCTGGCATAATTCTCACCGCTGCTGATGCTGCTGCTAATGTTTGGACGTCCTCGTTCGGAGTAGACTTCCAGTTTTTCCGACACAGGTGCTTTGTCAGCAACCACGCCAGACAAGGTAAACGACTCCAGGTGCTTCCTGTCGTGGCACTGGGTCCTTCGGCTGCATGACCTGACGCCTTATGGTTGTCTCCGGCCTGTGTGCAACCAAAATTCCAAGGAGGGTTAGAAGGCGGCTGACGTATTGTAGGACGTTATTGGCGATGTGCAGTTGTGTTGATTGACCAGATTACTGTCATTATGCCTCCTTGCCTGTGCCATATTTCCCTCCTTTCTGAACATTTTGGTTACTATGTGATCAAAATTCTTACGGCTAGTGAGAACTTCAAGTAAGGCCAGCTGGTTTCTCTCCTTCTCTGCCTTCATAATTTGTGTATCTGAACCAGGAGATTGGAAGTGTTATTTTAAAGTCAGCAGCTCGTTTTTTGAATGCGTGTGACGCTGTCATCACCTACCAGAGGCAAGAATTTCCGTCCGTGGTCATAGGCGGCCATCGATGTCAAGCTTTTCCGGATGCCCCACCTATGTACACCAGAACGGCCAAGACCTTCGGCGTGCATTTTCCTCCTTGTAAATTATTTCGTTGAACTTAAAGTATGTCTTGAGGCTGGGCATCAAGTGTTAAAGTTACAATGAGAAGAGGAAAACGTACAATGCAATGTTCGCGTACGCAGTTAGCTTGATTGCAGTCATGGTTTTCTGGTTCTCTTTTGATGGCAAAATTGGAAAAAGTATCGTTCATAACCGGGGTTTCTTACTCCGGAGGGCGTTTGTGTTAAGCAAAAGTGCAGACCATCCAAGGACCTTGAGTTATTACAAATGTTGGTTCTCCATAATGTCACCGATTAAAAGGTAATGCCACTTTTTATCGTTTAATGACAATAGTAAATGAATTTAATGTCCTTTTGCAAGCATTGTCACAAAGGCATTGCGTTTAAGCACTTTAACTCCAATGACTACCTTAAAGCATCTTGATTACCCTCACGCACCAGCCACCACAAGGTCTTTTTATTTCTCTGTCTGGCACGTAAAAATAAATATCACCAGTTATTTTCTTTTAGTGCAATTGCTCCCCAGATTAAGCAACCCTGGCCATAAACACCACATGCGTGCCGTAGTCTGGTGTAGCTAGTTCAGGGGTTTCTAGACGAGAGTTAGTGTCCGGCGCCACGGGTTTCTCCTTTCGCTTGCAGAGTCCAGAGTAGGTCAAATTCCTAACCTTAGGGTTTGCAATTCATGCTTTTCGTGGGAAATAATTTTTCCATTCTCCACAGTCAGCGTTTTGACGAAGTTGTTTGACCTGTTTACGCACTGCATACCTTTTTTGAAATTGAATTTTCGCATCTTTATGCCCTCCCTAGCTATTTGTATTCAAATTGAGTTATC